TTTTTTTTGGTTTTCCCAAGGTTTTCGTGTTTTATCATCTGAGCTTACTTCTCATCTCAAGGCATCTGTTCTTTTTGCTTATATACATCTGAAACCGTCTGAGCTCAACACTTCCTTTGTCCTTGTCCAAATCTCCATATACAAGTCTGAGTGCATTAACTGCTGACTGGTATCAATGCGGTTGCCACTTGCATTTCCAAACAGCTTGACATGCAGTTGCGAGGACACTGTCCTTTACATGAAACGGTTGGAAATCTTTGCGAGCGTACTTCTGTGCTTGTAGCTCAAGCGTTTACATCTTATTCTGGCGAACTTCTAATTTTAATTTTAATTCCTTTCTAATTCAACTCTCATCCAATTTCAATTAGGCTATAGTTATAGTTCAATACAAGTTTAGTTAAAATTCGGTTCTGATTCAGTTCTATCTTAGCTCTAACTCAAATCCAATTTAATTCTACCTAATTCTATTCTAGCTCTAGTCTATTTAGTTTAAGAGAACACATGCTACAAAACCCCGTGTTTTACAGTATTTTTTGCTGTGGAAGTGCTGGGAACAAGACTAAAACTCTTTTTTGGAGTAAATAGTTAGATTTATTTATTGTCAGTAATCATTGGAGATAATGTATACATATTAAACATGTTGTATGTACAAGCTTCTAATTCAAGAGCTTCCCTCTAGATCTCTGGGAATGATCATTTCTACAATAAAACTATATATAAGCTTTCATTTCAAAAGCTTTCCCCTGGATCTCTGGAAATGGTCATGTCAATTTAAACATGCTATATATCAATAAATAAGTCTTTCTTTCAAGAGCTTTCCTTTCATGAAAACACATATATACATATATATGTGGGATATCTACTTTCCCAGAGGTCTTGAGGAAAGCTTTGAAAATGCAGGCTCTTGCCCGCAGAAATCTAGAAGAAAGCTTTTAACACACAAGGTTTCTATATAGTTGTTTAAATCTAAACATGATTATCTGCAGAGATCTATAGAGAATCTTTTACAACATAAAAGCGTCTATATACAATCTTTCCAAATCTAAATATAATTATAAGCAGAGATCTAGAGGACAATTGTTAAAATGACCACTTTTATGGCCTGCTTCTTTTCTAACTATCTTGTTCAAAACCATCTGAATGATTGATTGCTGCTTCCAAAACAATAAAATTACCCTGACTCAGGAATACATAATATATTTGTTCATATAGAGTGAGAGCAAGAATAGATATGTGTGTTTATATGGAGAGGGGCTGCCACTGAAGCATTTACCTAAAATTTGGGGAAAACCAAAACCCAGGCCCCATGACCACCCGCTCTCCTCTTTTAATAGGTTGATATGCCCGGAGAGCTTGAATCTACATGACATTCGCATTTAGCAGGTTGTCCGCGTGAAAGCACCAGTCGAGGATTGTAAGACTTCCACCAGTTCCAGCAATCTCTTTTGCTCAAACAAAGCTGGAACTTTTTGGTGAGGCCTTTTCAATGGCGTCGAATCCATTGAATGGCGTCCTTCTAAGGATCGCTGTGACGTCCTTGCTGGCATGGGCCCAGTGCTCAGCTCGCTGTCAAGCAGCTGTACTTGGCTGTCTCAGATCTGAAGACTGGGAGTCATCAACTGTCAATCCTTCTCACTGACAAATGGAGTTCCAAAACCCAAGACATGTTGGATTTTTGTTTGCTCTAGTTCCAGCGTGCCGGTACCATCTCCCAGGAGCGTGACAGTGTCCGAGATGAAGGTGGCTGGGAGGATGTGTCGCCTCGATTCATGGGCTTTGAAGTCTTGGGAAGCCTTTTTGTTGTTTGCCAAGGCACATACGCATTATATATAATATATGTATATATATATACACATTTATAGTTGTTGCTGTTGTATACATACACATTTGTATACATGCACCATACCCTTCCCTTCTTTCCACCCGCTTGAGGGTAAAGAAATTTACCTGGAAGTCGCACATGGCCGAGCCTCCCGAAGAAGCCAAGCCGACATCCCAACTATCCCCAACTGGAAACGCCAATGACTGGTGAAAGTTGGAGAATGTGGATGTTCCACCCCGAGGGGAACTGGGACGTGGAGAGAGCCCCCGAAGTGACCATGACAGGAGCAGAATTGTAAAGCTTGGCTACTTGACACGTGTAGCAACACGAGGTGACATTGTTCTGCAAGCAGCTTGTCAACTGTGGAGCTACATTTCATTGCATTTTGTTACATTAGGAATTGCTGTTTCCCCCATCCGTAGGAATCAGTGTATTTATCTCAAGCACAGCATCTGGAATGACTCTCCAATCTCCCGTCTACCAGCGGGTACGCCGGGTACGCCAGGAGTATGAAACACAATTGGTGCTCTAGATGTTATGATGTGATGATATGACCCTGCGCCTGAGCCACGGTGCTCCAGGTGTGATGCATCTTCGAAAGGCCTGGCTCACCTGGAAAGGTTCTTGTGAAGACTGGAAGATCACCCAGGATTGCTGGGGCCAGAATCTTCACCAACTAAGTAGTACTTAAACTTACTGTAAACCAAGAACAGAGGGAAAAGGTTGCACAGGGAATCACAGGCGGTCTGACAACAGCTCCAATGATTTCCACCACGAAGAAACGCACCCTGGTTGTCCCGACGGGTGATATGGCAGGCCCACAGCTACCTGGAGCAGCAGTTGGCGTTGGTGCGACCAACTGCAGGGTTTGGCACGGGGACGGATTGGGCATGGTGGTCGGTCTTGTTGCGGAGAATGACATTGTTCAGCTGAATTCAACAGTACTCCTCATGTCAGCTCGTCCGGCAGCCATTTTGTTCAGTGGAATTGGCACGTCGAAGCCACAATTCCAAACAGAGGAACCTGCAAGGCAGTGCAAACAGTGGCATGTCATAGAGTTGCATTTTAGTTTCAATTAGTTTCAATTAGATTCATTCGACTTCCAGAGTCTTAGATGTTTATTAAAGTAAAGTTTGGCTGAACAGGCTGAACACATTTTTTGGGGAACTGCAGGGAAGCTGTAAGGAACCTGTAGTGAGTCACTACTCGAAGGGACACCTCAAGCCTTTCATGACAGCGAAGGGACACCTGCATGAATTCGGCACCAAGCTGCCCCCCTTTGAGTCTGAAAGTGGAGGTGCGATCGATCTTTGAGTCACGATGCGATTGATACCTTTTTGAGAGTTGAGACGTTTCCCTAACCTGGAGCCAGAGATGTTTCTCACGGTCTTAGTAAATCATTCTACAGTACATGTTGTGTTTTGTCTGAGACTGACGAGGATCTTGATCAGAACGACAGCAGTGATCCGTGCTGCTTGGCATTTTCCCACTCATCCTGGTTCACTTGCATTTGATGTCAGCACATGTCAACACATGTCACTCACTTTTCGAGCCTGAAGGTTCACCAGCAAAGCTGAGTGCACAATACGGAGTGGTGGTCCAGACCGCTGCGCAATCGCTGCGACATGTGTGGCGGACCGCTTCACGCCATCACGCGCCACGGAGATACCGGGCATATGCAAGGCTCCTGTCCAGCATGCTTGAGATTGAGTGCATTGCGGTGCTTTGGGATGCAAGAAAAGAGCAAGCATCGTTCCCCAACACAAAGTGAAGGGTTCGGCCACTGGCAACCAGCTGGTTTGGCAACCGGTACCAAGGTCTTCAGTGGCTGCTTTCCAGGTGGTTGGCATCAAGAAACCGAGAGCTCCGGGCGTGCCTGTGGCTTTTTCCGCGCTGAAGTCAATGCCGTACTGGAGCTGGACCACGAAACTGAAGCTGACAGTGCCTACAAACAGCCCATTGTCCAAGTTGGGTACGAACAGCTGAGTGATCACCGTCCGAGCGATCTGCAGACTGCACGAACAGCTGGGGCGGTACTAGCAGATCGTAGCTCCAATTCCCAGAAGTGACGGGCGCCCGACTAGCTACTAGGAGCAAGGATGCTACTAGGGTCTCCTGGCCTTACTACTAGGAGCAAGAAGCTACTAGGAGCTTTTTCGCATTTTTGAGTCTCCTTGGCTTTCGCTACTTTCCCGCATTCTAAGGTTGGGCCTTCCAAGCGTTGATGTGGAGAAGCTGGCCAGACACCCCTGCTACACAGCAAGTCCACAGGTGCGATCCATCGACATCATGGAGCATCTGACCTTGAGGCCTCACATGGACTGCGAAAACAGCTGTGTGCTGGCGTTTGCGCCAAGATGCCGAGGCAAATGAGAATGAATTCATTTGTTGAACCCCAAACCATCCACTGATTTATCATGATTTATCAGAGGTAGTAGTTGAGGATACCTCACCTAGTACCTTACTTATATAGAAGCTGGAAAGATAGATCCGAGTTTGATCATTTCAAGCCACATGGTTGACCATGTCGCCCCTTTCATCATCAGATTCTCCAGGAGCATGGCTGTGGCCCTTGGTAGCAATATGTTCCAGGGTACCGACAGCCAAGTGGTGCCTTTGTGGGTGCCGGCCTTTGGCGCGCATCCAGCTCACAGTCCTAGCTGTGACTTGGTTTAATGCTCTTTTTCATTTCTTAGGAGTGTTCTTTTCAATGAGATGCTGCTTGAACCGGAAATGCTGCTTAAAACAGACGTGGAAGGTGATGACTCTGAACTTCTTTGGTGGTACAACGCGCCTGCCCTGCCTCGACTACCGAGTCTTTTGCAGAAAGGTGCAAGATCCAAAGCATTCCAAAGCATTGTTTAACTCACATTTTATCTTTTGGGTTGTTCGAGTGAAGTATATTTATTGAATTTCTGAATCATTTTGAAGTTGTACGATGATTCTGCAGGCTGGGCTATAAACCTTGGTGCTGGCGACGGGTCTTGTGGCTACGTCACCTGACAGCATTTCTGAAAGCAACTTCTGGATCAACTGTTCTTTGACTGAGGACCTGGCGCGTGAGGATGGCCGTGACAAGGACCTTTACAAGGCTTATGGCGGCGGTGAAAAGCCAAGTCATGCTTTTCGATGGTGGCAGTGATGGTAGGCGGATGATCCTGCCAATTGCCTCCTTCAAGAAGGATTTGCCGGAATTATGTTTGAGGGCCCGGCCCTGAGTTCTCCGAAGGGCTCAGTTCTGTCCAACACGGCTCGGCTTTTGATGCTTAAGTAGCACTCAGCTGCTACTTACTACATGCTACTTGTTGCGGGTTTCCCATTCTTTGGGACATGCCCATTGGTTAAATTGGTTGCATACTTGTAAAATCCCGAATGCCGAGTCGGTGCAGTGATGCTGGTGAGGTGCAGAAACGAAACTTGCCAAATTGAAAGAGGCAGGAGAATCGTGGTTCGCCTGTGACCGTTTAGACAGAAACCGATGATCACAACAACACATTGTTTGAACTCAGAGCATGCTTTCCAGGGACAGCAAGTATTGTGTACTTGTTTGGAAGGAGTTTGAGAGAAGACCTGACGTTGTTCTAGTGCTCGGGCATACAGATCCTGATGAGGCGCAGCGGTGTTCTTGTGAGATTTGTGTGAGCTAACCTCAAGATGGAGTTCCCGTCCCCCAGAAATGTAAGATTTCGATCTTAGCAACGCCATAAGCAGGAGTTCCAACACGTTACGTATGCAAATCACTTGCAATCATTCGTATTTGTTTTGTGTGCAGTGAAGATTGCAGGTTGTTGCGCATGTTGCAGCCTTTCGTCACAGTTGACAGCTTATCCCTTCAGCTGCGGGATATTTTTCAGATCAGCAAACAGCCAGACACGGACAATTCAGAATTCGTTTTCTGCTGCTTTTGTTCCCTGTGAGATCAAGGACTCCCACCGGTAGAAGCAGAGCTGTTGAAGGCTGGGAGCCTTACTTAGTTTTGAAGGATGCCCAGCTGCACGTATACCGTTTATTGAACTGATGTCCAATTACGGTCCTTCAGTGGCCGCCTTTGCTTTTGGCGCGACTGCTGTGACATCCGACTCTGCCAATCGGCTTATCCAATGAAGCATAAACCTGGAAGCCTACTTGGCATTTCTGTGGCAAGCTGACAAACTGGGTGTGAAATGAATGAAAAACAGCTGCAACACGGTCAGGTGGACTTCGACAACTGCGACTGTTGCTTTGTGGAAGCCTTGCTCCAGAGTGGAATTCGTCCGCGACACTTGCATGTGGAGGCCATGGATTATTGTGAAGAGTTGTGGAAGGGATACGCAAATTGAAATGCTCATGAATTTGCTTGTTGCCTGCGATATACATCAGTGCTGCAAAGCAGGTGAGTTGCTTCATTCCTCCACCCTTGGTCTTTCGACCGACTTCCTTTGATGAATCCATAGGACAGCTGAACTTTGCTGAAAGTTTAGTTTCAGACTGAGATGTACCGCAGTGTCATGTACTGTTCCATGATGACGCAAGATGTCATGACTTGCAACCGGGCTTAGTGGCCGAAGCCTTTGCGTAAAAGATCGTAGATGGTGCCACGATCGTTTTCGTGTTTTCTTTCAGTTGGTGTTGTTGATTTGATCATGGCTGTTCTTTTGCGGCTCAAGGTGCGGGAAAAGAAACTTGTTGGCTGTGTCCGTGTGTTTCGGTGATCTATTGTGCACGCGGCTTTGCATGGCACTTTCACACCCAAAGCTGGTTTTGGACCAAGAGGGCAACCTCCTTGAGCTGAAAAGCAAGACGGGGGGGCTCCTTTCAGCTGATGAGATCGCAGATTGTGTCAAGTTCCGACGTCTCCGAGGAGGGGAGGTGGACGGAGAGTTGACCTGTACCTCGGAGAAATACGACGGCCAAACTAATGGAATGAAGGTCAATGTCATTGGAGGTGCCACCGGAGCTGGCAAGACTTCATTGATCCAAATCTTAGCAGGAGGCATGCAAACGGAAGCAAAGAACCACTCTGACACGAAGTGCCCTACCATCTACGTACTCGAACTTGACATTGGCCCTGTTGCCTTCCTTGACACGGCTGGTCTTTGTGACACAGATGCTGAAGCAAACAAGAACCCCCAAGTGCAGGATTTGCTTGTGCAAGCTGTGGCTGCCACGATCCAAAAGTACAATCTTGTGGTGGTGAACTTCTTGATGTGTGTTGACTCCACGGGCCGCCTGCCTGGAAACTTTTGTGAGGTGTGGCCACAGATGCAGGTGTCCCTGGGTGGTGAAAAAACTCAACGATTTTTGCCACTTTGTGATGACAAAGGCAAACGCGGATAGTAGGGCAGCTAAACAACAGCTCAGCAAATTGAAAACTTCACCGGCCTTCCTGAGCCTTCAGCACTCAGCATTGGGATGGCCAGTTGTTTCAGCAGGTCATGAGAACCTGGATGAGTTCCAGCGCATTCTGAAGAAGATGTGGGAAGAGATTGAAGGCCTTGATGCAGGAGCTGTGCGGGCAGATGAGGAAGGTTTGCAGGTGAAGCGGCAGAAGGCTGACCAAGTGCAACGAGAGTTGCAAAACTTCAAAGATCGGATGAATGTGGAGAAAATGAAGGCGAATACAATGCTGGAAATGTCAGATAGACTTCAGGATAGCATTGACAGCGCCTACGACGAACTTGCGAGCCTGGGCGATTGCACCAAAGCCCGAAAAGATGCATTGAAAAAAAACGATTCATGAGTTCAGGGAGCGACAAAAGAAGATGAGAGAGGATTTTGACAAAGGCAAGGTCACGGAGAGGGAACTAGAGGAAATGATTGAACAGTGGCAACAGGATCTTGACAAGGAGCTGGATGCTATCCGTGAAATGGAAAAATTGGGCAACCCTTTCCAATCCCTGGCCAGGGCGGCCAGGGCGGCCAGCAAGCTCATCATGGAAGCGGCGGCGAGCAAACTATGAGGCAAAAGCAGGCGCCACACTTTCCCGCTTTCAGTTGCCTTTCATTGCTGGCAATGTGCCTTCCCTGCAGTTCTGAGATAGCATTTTGCTGAGGCCGCTGCGCCAGGTTGTGCAGTTTATTTGGCATGCTGGGCACATTTTTCCTTAGATGTTTGACAGTGAAGTTCACTTCCGATGCTGTTCAGAGTCTTGAAGGCATTCTTGAAGAACCATTTGCAGAGAGTGAGACAGCAACAAGACTCCTGTTTCCAATGCGAGAGTCTTCTTGCGACTGAGTGAACAGCTTGATGTGCATAAAGAGCCCAATCTGCAAAAATGTGTGCGCCAATGATTTTAAAGGCAGCACCATTGTGATGGACATTCAATTTGCTCTGAGATGACATCGGCGCAGTGCAGTGTTCTGTTAAAGCAGTGCAGCCTTCAGTCCACCTGACGTAGTCTCTCGACGCACCTCAGTTCCAAACGCATCATGGAAGATTCGTTGCATGCTTGCACTCAAGCCATTGAACTCTTGCTGGTTAAAAGTCCAACAGTTGTTGTTTGGATGGGGACATGACGTGATCAGACACGGTGGGCGATTATACAACATGTTTGGTAACTATATGTGAAGTAACTACGATTGTTATGTGTGGCCACAGAATACACTGGCACTAGATGAAGTACGAGAAAAGTCCAAGTTTAAAGCAGAAAACCTATTTAAATCATTTTAAATCTATTTGTTAATTTCAGAAAGCCGAGGTAGAGCAAACGTATGGCCTATCTTAATTACAGGTGGATGACTAGGTCAATCCAATCACACAATCCGGCCACGCAAACGTCTAGATATTTATATATATAATATACATATAGTTATTCTTTTGTGGATGTGTTTTGTTATTAGTAAACATGAGTAAGTAGTAACCAAATATCAGTAAATTGTTTTCATCCCTGGACATTTTTGTACTATATCGTGCTCTTGTTTTCTTGCTTGTTTGCCTGTTTGCAGGAGACTCAATGTTGGAACTCGGTGTGGAGTATGGACTCAGAGGACACATGATGCACTGCCTGTTCCTCAGATGTTTGGTTGGCAGTACAGGCCTTCGGAGCTCTGATGATGTTTCCAGGTTCTTTGTCGGCGTATGCCGAACTCTTGGAACCCTTCGGGTACAAGCTGGTTTTAACCTCAAATGCTGAGACTCGTGAATATTTGAACACGGATCTGCGAGCGCTGTGAGGTTGTGAGTGTAAGGGGTTCCTGGTGGGAAGACGACGTAGGTGTGATATGAGATATTCATGGGCTTTCTGGGCAACATACACACCATGATTCATGGGTGGCAGAAGCAGCTGATTGCGGCAGAAGCTCAGATACATCATCATCAGAGGGCTCGTGTTGAGCTTGCAACTCGTAAGGTGCGGCTCTTCTTGCATGATGCCCTCTTCGCTCGGCATGAAATGATCTCCGACCAAGATGCGACCCTTTGGCGAGAGATCCGAGGCGGGCCGGAAGAGTCACAGTCACCCATCTACCCATTCCGGATATTAAAGGCTTTGGGGACATGGTGGAGGAGCATTTTTTGCTTTGTCCTACCTTGTCCTAACGCAAAATGTATGGGTTGTCCGTGGTTTTCCATAATATTGAACAATACATAGTAATAAATGCTCAGACTGAATTTATCATGTTCTAGTCTACGATGTTATTCCGGAGATGAGGTGGCTCTCAAACCAAGATTTCACCAACTTATACAAATGCAGTGAAACGAAGCAACGTAACCTGACTGTGGGTATTGGTGTTAAGGCTTCATGCACAAAAGGACATAGGACTAGGAGATGTCTCTTTAGTTTCCGATGTACTTGAAAAAAGAAGAACGTTACTCTGACCTTCTGCCAAATAAACCACAGTTTTAACCTTGAGACTTGGCTCGAGTCTTGCCAGATCTGGAAGCAGCCTGGTCGTGGCCTTGGTGATCTTCGTGTGGTACCTGCAAGTTTCAGCGAGTTGCAATGGCTTTCCAAGTTCCAACATCATCGAGGCAAGACCTCAGAAGCTGTAGGAAAAGCCACAGCGTTTCAGCAGCAGACTGATCGCCTGAATGTATCATTTGGCTCCACACATTCCCAGACTGATCATGTGGGATCGAACAGATCTCGCCCCCAGGTTGTGAAGACGTTTTGATATCAAAGAGGGAAGTATCGGGGATCTTATGATTCCTATTGCTATTATATAGGTTGTATTGCTTGTATTGGAAGAATTCAAGCGGCCTTGATGCTCCCAGCAGACCAGCTCCTGGCACGACGATTCCGCGCCCTGCGATGTCCAGATTCCGTGCCCGCCCATCCTGCTCGGCCAGCTGCAACAACAGGTGTCCGGAGCTGCACATACAAAGATAGCGTCCTTGCTCCTAGTAGCGATGCCAGGAGCCCCTAGTAGCGTCCTTGCTCCTAGTAGCAATGCATCTTGTTGTTGAGAAAGTCACATTCCGTGAACAACAATGGCCGGCCAAGTTTATCATGGTGTATCATGTGTATCCTTGATCAGCGTGTTTAAATGTTTCGGTGCGTTCGGCAACTCAGGTATTGTCGAAACAAGGAACAGGTTAATGACTACTAGGAACAAGTGCATCGCTTCTAGTAACAAGTGCCTTACTAGTAGTAACAAGGACGCTACTAGGGGCTCCTGGCCTTACTACTAGGAGCAATGTTCGCTACTACTAACAAAGGGCATTACTTGGTCTTCATTTGGCTGAGTTGCGTGGCTCACATCGGTGCATTGAGCATGGGCATGCACTCTATCTTGATGGGCCTGAGATGCGCACAACAGCTGCACTGCGTGCGCATAGCTGGCCCTCAGAGATGTTGCACATTCCAACAAGCAAGCCAGACTGCAATGCAATGTGGGAAAAAGTCAAACGAGATCTTCCCCAAGTCTTGACAACACCAACGGGTCAGTGCTGGCTGTACGGCACTTCTTCGCAAGCTTGCTCAGAGCGAGTGGGTCACACTTTTCGCCCTTCAGGGGGGCGCGGGGGCCCTTTTCTCTGGTATACTTGGACTGAATGTGGAGTCACAAGCTGAAGACTAAAAAATTCTCATCTCCAAGCGGCTGACTCGAGCCGTGCACCCCACGTTCTCAGGATCGCCATATTCATGCAGAAAGGAAAAACACGGTCTGCATAGAAGGTGAAGATTGATGTTCCCGGAGTTTTTGTCTGGACTCGCCAAGGTGGCTGTAGAGGTGCAACAGGCATGCCGTGCACCCATGTTCGGGGCCCGGCTTCTGTCAAGACTATTGAAGTGCTACAGTATGTCTACAAGGGAAAGAAGACTCAGATGCGGGTAGCGATCTTTGGCATCATGACGGATTTGTCTGGATCCACATTCAGTCAAATCATGACACAGGATTTTCGCTCTTTGCATCTTTCCACTTTTGCGCGCATCCCGTAGCGGCCAGTGCCATTGGAGAGATTGAACAACAAGCCACCGCAAGCAAGTGGGCGATTCTCCCATTAGTCGAGATCGACGTCGCCTTTTGAATTTGAGGCCTCAATTCATGAAATTAGGGAGCTGCTTGGCGAATTTCACGCATAGAGGCCTCATCCTTCGTGAAGCACACCTAAAATCCAAAAGCACGGAGTTCCAGGGTGGATAGACATGCTTGCAAAACAGGAGCTTGTCAACGGGAGCTTTGCGGTGGGAGGTATTGCTGACAACTGACTGGCACACGAGCGGGAAGAGCAGCGCAAATGGGACTACTTGGAAGCCATGTATGGGGAAGGGGCAGATGATGTCCCTTTCATTCACAGAGCTGACATGGAGGCATTTTTTTGAGTACACTGGTGGCTCAGCGACATCGAGGTAGTCCATGCGGCATTTGCCAGCGGCGAAAAGTATGCAGACTGCCTTTGATGCAACTTCGGAGTCCTGGATTCGGGGATGATAGCAATCATAATAAGACTATTCAGACTCTTTTTGCCTCATGAAGGAAACAAAACGGTCTTGCTGGAAGCCGCAGAGCGCATGTTTTTTGGTAATGGCAGAAGCAGCTGCATTTCCTTGCTAGAATAAAGGTGTTCTTTGCATTGGATGAGCCAAAGCCACAGGGCAATTGATTATATACAACTTTCACATGCCGTCAGTCGCTTTTCCTAATTTTGGACACTCAATTTGTCACACTACCCAACTACTCACTCCAGGTGGGGTCTGCATTTCATCATCCAATGGATCCAAGGTTTGGCTGCTTTTTTTTGCCATCCACTGCGATCGGCCTTAACCATGGAGATGGAGTACGTATCGCACCCTGGCGATGTTTTCAGAGCGCTTTTCAATCGCCTTTTTTGCAGTCATAGCCGACTGGGCGCCTGATGTAGACGGCCGACCGTCAGACGGACGACAGGACCTTTCTGTACGACTATCGGGTGTGGAATGATCGAGAGGTTCCTCCATGGAGGCGCCTGGTCCTTAGCTTCGGATCATTTGAAGGGCCTGAAAGGCCTCCTTCGGCCTCCTGGGGTTGGAAGGGGCCAAGCTCTTGGTAATCCAGGTCTCCAGCTCCTGCAGGATTACTTGGACCGGTGGCAAAAGCCAAGAAGCAGCTATGTGCTCCAACTGGCAGGAAAAAGACTCCAAAGATCGCATCAGGTCTTGCGAACATCACGGTTGAATCCATGAAAAGGTTCCTTTTCTCTTTGTTTCTTGCCAACCACCACGCGAAGAGGTTCTGATGTTGACGGTCTTTCAGAGATCCACGCAGGGGACGCTGGCAAAAGCTGTCAAGATCGAGGAGCGGTTGCAAGACGCAATCGACAGCCAGAGCCCGAGTTTCCAACATGCTTATGGCCACTAGACCACTAGAGCGGGTCTCAATACAAGATGCAGACACTTGATGTTCCGTTCATTTGTTCACTTATTTTTGCTTTGTACTGCGGCACCAGTGATAAGTAAGACTTTTATACACTTGATCAATGACTGTCATACTTCCAAACAATTAGTGCCGGTTGGATTACTGCTTCAGGCATGCCAAGACGGCAATGTTCACAGATGCCTTTGCTCTGCCACCTTGCCCTTTCGGTCACCTATATACTCTAAGTTAAGCACCCCTTCTCAAAGTTTTTTTGTGACACACACGTTTCACTATCAGCTCATCAGCTCCAGCTTGATCGCCACGCTTGGTGGCCTCGCAGGCTTGGGAGCCCTCATTGGAGCGATTGATGGCGTGGCGCCCTCTCTGAAAGCTTTAAGCAAGGGTCGAGAGGCGCTGCGCTCCGGCGCAATTCTGGTCGTGGTTCTCGCGGTTCATTGCGGTTCTAGGGGCACAAAGACCCTTCCCAACCAACAGCGGGAAGCAGTTCACATGTTCCTTCCTTCTTCACGTTCAGAGGGGTGAGAAGCTATCTCAACAGCTGTTCATAGCGGGGGGAAATCTGGTTGTTCATCTATATCACTCTCAGTTCTGGCTGTGAATGGTGGCTGCTCAACGCTCTTCAAGACCTCTGCGATGTGTTCATGTTGGATCGTTGAAGAAGGGAGCTTTGCATAGCTTTGAGCCGTTTTTTTGATATTTTTGAGGGGCTAATCAGTGTTTTCACCGTAGGTTGTCCATGCTTGGAGAATCAACAGAAGTCCGTTTCATGAAGTCGGGTCCTTGAACGCATTTTCTAGATTCTATTTATTGTTTCTACTAGCTTCTTGTTACTACTAGTAAGGCACTTGTTACCAGTAGCGATGCACTTGTTCCTAGTAGCTTCTTGTTAAGCCAGAGTGTTTCTAAGAGTCCACCATTTTCACTAATCGTCGACAACGCAACTTGCTCGCAGGGAATCTTCTCAAAGCTTAGTGGCATAGGACAGACGGGCGACGATAGGCTTCAGGGCTCCGTTCCATTGGTCCAAGGACATGTTGACTTGCTTTGGGTCGAGCGGAGCGGGGCGAATCTGAAAAGCGCTATGATTTGCTGAGGATGTTCTTGGATGGTTTTTGCCAGGACGAGCAGCGCTTGCGGATGCCGTTGCCTTTTCTTGGTCTTATGTGCAGTCCTTGTTCTTTCAATCACATCTGGGCTGAGCCTTAGGGTACCGCAGTGAGGGGAAATCTCCATGGACAACGCCTGAGGCCATGCCTGGCTTGAAGCCATCCCTGGCGGCTGTTCACTTTGACCAATGGTTCCGAGGCACGCGGGTTTTGGGTGCCTTGGGAGGCATGCCCCATCAGTGGCTTGCCCCGTCAGAGAAGCCATGTCAAATGCTTTTGAGACTTCAGGTGATGCTTTTGACCAGCGCCGAAATGAGTGAAACCGCCATGTAGAACGGGCTCCATGGTGATTGAATTCCTTGAAAACAGCCCCCCCCACTCTGCTGTTGACCCTGCGAATGAGCTGAAAAACGTCGTGGCCTCAGGCTTGGAAAATACCCAGGACTTTGTGGAATCAGTGGTCAGCAACAGCCTTCAGGTGGCCAAGCCAGGTCTCATGAGTTGCAGTCGATGTGTACGAGTGAGATACTCGTGTGGTTTCTGGCGCTCGCTTCACCTGGTAGGATGCTCCCAGCTCTCATGTAGGGTTGTTGGAGCTTGTGAAGGGTTTATAAACGAAAGCAGGCAAGTTTGGTCCAAAAACAAGATGATCAAGATGTTACATTGTAGGATTTGTAAGGGTGAGAAGTATGCAGCACCCATTTTATTCTTGGTTGTCAAGTTGTCCACCCACAACCGCTACAGCCACTACATTTTACCATGACTGTGATGCCTCCCGGTTTTTGTCACGTTGGATTTTGCAGGATCTTCGCAAAGCAGGAATAGATTTTCATGATGGATGTCCAAAAGGTCAAGGGCTTTTCAAACTAACGCAGTGCTCCTGACAAGCCACAGGGAGAGAGATGAGCATTCCAGTGTTTCATATATCATATGCACATATATACAACTATATACTAATATACATAATGTATATATATACAGGTCTGTAGCAGTTCGTATCTACTCCCTGAAGCCACCCTGGTTTTGGACGCGGTCGGTTTCTATTTTACCTCAGGCCCTTCTGTCCTTCCTCACGTCATCTTCGGTGAAGATCCCACAGGTCTCCGCACGCACGATCTGCAGGATCTGATGGGAAACGTGCGCCTGAAGGTGGAGCGAACCTTCGGAGATCAACCGTGGGGAACGACTGGGACGCGAACCATGCGCTGTTTCGCCATGTG